ACTCACTAATGTCCAGGAAGTACTTACTGGTAAACATGGTGATAGACTTCCACATGCTTCTGCTACAAGCAGTCTTCTTTCATGGTATTTATGAGTAATCTKTTTCAAAAAAATACAAGAAATAGGATTAGACTTTAGATTTTAATTTTGACTTATTCTGTCAAACTGACAGTTTGAAAAAGGATTATACAWGTACCTGTTCCCACAGTTGAGGAAGGAGTTCAGCTTCAACACGAGAGGCCTCAACAACTTGAGCAAATGCTGCACATCCATTCATAATCATTTGCCTTTAATCAAACAATAAGTACTTTGTATAATGTTGMTTCAAKCTGGACACTTACAACACTTTCAAAAKYTTTTTCAAACAACTCTTTGTTTAAGCAACTTTTTGATATGTACCTTTGCTCTTCATCAGGCCTTTTGATTAAGTTAAACAGCATATGCATTAAACCATCTCTTTCTTTGATGTCTGGATGATGGATAGCTGTACATAGGATCACAGGGATCAGTTCCTTAAAACAGAAACGCAAAACATCAGTTTACTGAGATGATATTAAGATTTAGCAATTGTAGATTTACCTCTCTCTTGTTGAGCAACACATTAGGGACAATATGAGGAAGGCATCTTGCCAGGATTAACACTACATCATCACTAGTGTCAGATAACTTTGATACCTGTCAAAAAKTTGAATACTAAATTTTCAGTTTTTTGAATTTATCAATTTCTTATATGCAATAATGTACATACCTCACCAGCAAGTCTATTATCAAGTACAACATGCGATGATGACAATAATGCTTCTCTAAATGCTGGTGATGTCATTCTGTAAAACAAATAATAATAATATGATTGATTGACAGCTAAACTGTACATCGCCATTGATGTGCATTCGATACTGTATCTATTATCAACAATCATCAATGCATAACATTATTATTATCATATTGAGCTAAATAAAATTAATTTACCTTGATCTTGAAACATTTGACTTGTTAGAACTATCAGGTTCAGCAGATYCACTTTCAAAAGGTGAGTCACTTCCCTGATCAACAACAATGATAAATAATTAAAAAGTGGCCAAAATATAGATTGCATAATTATATATCCATGTCTACTTATTCAAGACATGTATTACATTGTACCATTTCATTGTCTTCTTTTCCTTCATATGCATCACCATCTTCCGTGACATTTTCCAGCTCTTTTACATCTCTACTCTCATCAACAACTTGAATTTGCGGAACAACACTTTTGTTCATGGTAAGAGCACCCTCAGCTTGTTGAACACAACTRCCAACACCATCATCATCATCATGAACTCTCTGTAYATTTGAAACACTAGCACCACTTGCAGCATCATTACCATCAATAGTATTATTAATGTGTGATGGCGATAAAGTCTTGTCTTCTGATTGGTCAGATCTGATGGTGCTTAGTGACRTATTGCCCGGCGATGAGAATGGATGGAAGTCACTGAAAATAAATGGATTCATTCATTTTTTTATATCACATTTAACATATCAATAAGCTTTGGGACTTGCAAGACATGATTTTCACTAGCAACAATATAATAAATACAAACCTTTGTAGTTTGTTTATATTCTCTGTGAGGGCATGATTCTCAAACTTCAGTTCACCAATC